TCTCTCTCTCTCTCTCTCTCTCTCTCTCTCTCTCTCTCTCTCTCTCTCCCCACCGCAGCATCCCTGTGGACCGCAGTTAAAATCCGGCAGCGCGTGGTGTGTATGGCGGCGCGCGGCCTCTCACGACAGGGATTGTGGTGTGGCGGGGCGGGGTGGGGTGCGATAGCCTTCCTCTGGAACACCTGTTGTGTGCATACCGGGGTGTGGCCCTCCACACTCCTCCCCGCCACGCCCCGCCACGCCCCGCCACGCCCCGCCACGACACGAGCGCGCTCGCGCGCACACAGTGACCGTAGGCTGTGGCCGTAGCCGTTGCCCGGGCGCTGTCGGTGCGTGTTCCATCATCATTCAAGACGGATGATAAAGGCTGCCCAACCAGCCAGCCATACCACCTGGCTGCCCTACCTGAGCAAACCCTCACGCCTCCCCCGTCTGTCTGTCCGACGCAAGGCATCATTACAAGTAAAGGAGTGACCGTTGCTCGCTCCGAGAGAGCAATGTCGTCCAATTCGATCGCTCCTGGAGAACGATGTTGAATGACGTCGCCCCTTCACAGTCATTCAATGGGCGTTGGTATAACTCTATAAGAGTGATCTTGGCCGAGATGAGATGACTCGAATTGAGCGATGTTTTCACAAAACAGATGCATCCATATCACTCTTAGTGAGCGATGCAAAACCAGGTCGCTCTATTTAGGTGATGTAGAAACGCGTCACTGTATTTGGGCGAGAATGGTGACTCCCACGTTTGCGGTGATCCGTCATTCTGCTGCCCGGTTCTTTGGGATCGTCCAGAAAGTACGTCCGTTTTTCTCAGATTCGTTCGTCAAAATGTGGGAGCTTAGCGCCTGCAAGGAGCGGGGTAGGCATACCCGCAGTACACGTATGCACTGCAGGCGAGATGTTGCCTACCCATCGGGCGCTATGAGAGCTGCACCCTGCACCTATTGCCGCAGTATATCGGCGATTAACGGGTCTACTTTCTGGATGATCCCTTTGCTGCGTTCGCCTGACGGTCAAACGATGGAGACACGCTTACATTGGAAGTAGTGTTCAAACTGGGGCAACCACATGTTTCAAAACCGCTTCTCATACCGGGTGTTGCATAAAAGACACAGGTGCGGGCGGGCTTGCCTACCCGCTCTGCCCGTAAGGCGCCATAGCCCCTTGGGTAGGCAAACCCGCCC